AAAAAAAAAAAAAAAAAAAAATGTATGCTGAGTTATATTCATGATACTGTGTCAGCTGAAAGGAGGAATAAGCTTTTCAATTGGTAGGAAAGCCTCTTAAGGGTCATGTATATCTGAAACTCCAAAGGAGGCTGTGGAAATTTTGTCATAGAAATGCAAATAATTGGCTCTATTTCTGGAACCTTCATCACACTCCAAAAATAATATTCTGGTCAAGAGTAGTTCATAGCGAGAGAAGCCAATTTATAATGGACAGAGACCTTGATCCATATGATCCCGCTCCTTCCAAATGCAGTTGTTGCAAAGACAGGGACTCTCTCCTCTGTTTCTTGGGGGTTGAGTTCTGTATCCATTGAGAGAGAGAAAGGAGCCAGGCAGGCGGAGGGAAGAATATCACTGTTACGGTAAAGGCTGGGGTGGGGCATGTGGCTTAGGCGACAGCCACACAGGCTTTTCAGATAGGACCTAGAGGTGGGAGAGACTTCGGCTCCCAGTGATCGGCTACGCAGCCTTGGAGAACCGTAGGCTTGCTGCACAGAGATGAACCTTTACTTCTGGGCTCTCCACATGGCTGAGCAAAACCATACATGCTCCCTACAGGCCATGAAATGTGGATAAATTAGAACAAATTGGTACAGTTCCAACTCCCAAGGTCTTGGTCTTACTCTCTAGGGAGCAGTGCACCTAAACCGCCAGTGGCAAAACATTAAAAACGCATACTGCTTATTTCTTTGTTTGCAATGGAACCTGGAAGAAGCCAGCTACAGACATTCTCTGCCCAGTGGAGTAAATTTTTACTCTCAGTATCTATTACGAACCGGCATTATACCAGAATTAAACAGTGTACTCTTGGGATTTCAGTGGGCTGGGAAGATAAATCACTGGCTTATCCTCTACACTTAAATCATACAGCCGTGTACAGCCTGCTGCTTAGCCCGTAGATCTCCTTGGCAGGATAATCTGCTTCAGCTTGCGTGAGAACAGAATGAGAAATGGTGGCTTAGTATATGTTTTTCATTGAGAAATAGGCCAACTCAGTGTATATAAAGCTTCATCTTTTTATTTATTGATATGTCTTTATTGATTTTAGAGAGAGGAAGGGAGAGAGTCATTGATTGGTGATTGATTGGCTGCCTCCTGTGTGTCCTCTAATGGGCATCGAGCCAGCAACCCGGGCCTGTGCCTTGACCGGGAATCGAACCCTGATCGCCTGGATCCTAGGTCGACGCTCAACCGCTGAGCTGCGTCCGGCAGGGCTAAAGCTTCATCTTCTGATAAAAGTCAGTGTCCACATGGAGGGTGTAAATGAAATTAAGAATTCAAAATAGTGCCAACATGACAAGAAAAAGGATCAGATGTTTAGTTTAACAAATTAAGGTGGTGTTTCCTTTTAAAGGAAATTCTGTAAAGACCCTATTAGAAATTATGTTTTCCAGAAAAAGCAGTTTTATTTCATTAAATTATTTCCACAGATGCTCTATTGTTTAAAAAAAGAAAATGGATTGTTTGTGAGACACTCATTGTAGATACTCAGAGTCCATATGTCTTCTATTCTTCTCAGGAGAGGTGAAGTTCTGTGCAAATGTGAGCTGTGGCTTTTGTCTGTTGGGTGTCTACTATTTAGTCTATTGTTATGCGTCTATTCTTGGAACTGGCAAGTCTGAATGAGCTCCCAGTTATTCTTAGCTCTATACCAAGGCACACTGATGCTTTTTATGTCCTTCTTTTAGTAAAAAAATAGAAAAGGGGATAACTCTTGACATGTGAAGAGTTAGTACAGAAAAAATTTATAAATGCACTAAAAATATTTAACCTCATCAAGCCCAAATAATTGTCTACTCTTATTTTTAATACTGACTTAACCGGTTAGAAACCCTTCTTCCAGTTCTTTGCAGCTTGTCTAATCTACCTGTTCACTCATTTTTGCATTCATTAATTTAACAAAATATTGACTATTTATTCTGGAAGGCAAAATGCTGTCATTGGCCCCAATTCAACGCCAACAGGAATCCCCAATTTGGGGTGCAGTGAAGAAGGAAACTTTATTCAGTGCAAAATGGCTTAACTGTGATATAGCAGGGCCGTGAGGCAGCCCTAGGCCCAGTGGCTCTGGGGCCAGTTCCCTCTCCATCTAGACATCCTGCTCTGCTCCTTTCTGGCCAGGCTGCTGGGGCTGCACTGGCCTGGCCTCCCCCGCTCTGGGGAGGCAGCCTGGGTGTTTCAGCTCAGCCGGGGGGGCACAGCCTCTGGTGGAAAAGGGAAAGGGGGCTCCTGGAGCCAGAGGGGTCTGGCTTATGTGGCCAGAAGTCCCCACCCTGGTCTTGATTGGTCTGTCCTCATGTAAGTGAGGACTCCAGATCCTTGCAGTTGGTCCAAAAGGCACTGTCCTGATTGGTGAGAACAGAGCCACTCCGGTTGGTTGGAGCTTGCAGCTGATTGGCTGGGGAAAGCCTCGATCCGATTGGCTGAGGGAGCACTCCAGGGGATCCCGTTCAGGGGCTGCCCGGGTGGCAGAAGCAGTGCTCGGCTATGCAGGCAGAGGCTCCCTGCACTGGGTGGGCGGCCCCGTGTGAAAATAGCTGCCAGGCTCTCTTTTGTTCTGTTTTGTTCTGTTCTGTTTATTTATTTGAGCCCACTTAGCCATCAGGAGCCCGCCTCAGTAGGCATCTTCTTCTCAAGGTCACACTAGTTGGGCCCACTTTGAGTGCCACATCCTTGAGGGGCCCAAAAAATCACCTAAATTTTAATATTTCCTACTGTTCATTCCATGGGGACGGTTACTTACTAGGCCTTGGTGGGTATTTGCCAGATTGAATGAAGACGTCTGTACCTGGCATTACACCTGGAAAGATCTGTGAAGATGAAACCGGATCACTTACCTTTAGGTTTCTTCTTCCACCGTTAAATGTAGACCTGTGCAGATGTTCCTCTGCTTCAAGACTCCTGGGAATGCACTTGCTGTTCCATACATTGAGCATAAATATAGTCAACATTTCATATTTTTAATGCTGTTACCTCTTTTTTGTAATAATTTGGAATCTTTTTACTGCCTTTATATCATTCCCATTCTGATTATGAAATTTCTGATAAAACTTTGTCATTGACTGTACATCCGTCATTAACACAGGGTGGGGCAAAAATAGGTTTACAGCTGTGAGTATGTGAGACACAGAGATTATTCTTATATTATTATTTATTAATTATTGTATTATTTTCCATATAAACAACTGCAAACCTATTTTGCCCCATCTTGTATGTATCCAGTTAATCCAAAGACTATATTAAGTGTCTCTTAGCAAATCTGTGGATTGACTGGATCTGTTCCAAGGATTTTAAGACATTTGCTTTAATGTCAGTGTTGAGTGAGGTCTCAAAGATGTTAATCTCAGAATGCAGGGATCAATTCAGTAGAGAGCTTGGTTATCTGGACTCTGTTCCTCCTTCACCCTCTTGTTTCTGTTGTAATGATCCTTAATTTAGGAGCTATTGTGGTTAAAAACTACTAGATGCATACAGTGTAAGCAGGAAGGGAGTTCTCCATCTCGGTTCAGAATAGAAAAAATGAGGAAATTCCAGGTGATGTTCATGGAAAGGTTGCTTGTTGCCTGTATCCTTAGGAAATTGAAAAGAAAGATGTTTATGTCATGAGGTTATTTTATAATTTGGTTATTTTTCTCTCTCTTTCACCAGGTGTCACCAAAACTCATGCCAATGCAGCAGATCGCAATTTGAAATATGGAATAAACATTTGTCCAGGGCTGTGTGTTTTCATTTTAACCACGTAGGATTTCATTGAAAGGTCATCAGTAATCATAATTGTATATCGAACAAGCAGTTTTTTATGAGATTTTTAAGCATTTTCCGCTTTATGCAGCCTGTTTTCTCAAGTGTGCTATGACATTTTAATGAAAAACAAAAGGAAAAAATATGATTATCGTATTTGTTTTGTAAGTGCTTAGAAGGATGTCTTTACAATTGGTGCTCGCGTTGGATCTTTCTCCATCTGCTGTGGTACGTACACTGAGTTGGGTGCAGTTTGTATCAAGATGGAAAGAGTTTCATTGATATACAGAATTGTGGGAAGAAAGAGTGAGGGGAAAAAGTGACCCCCCCCCACCTCCCAGAGTATACGCAAGCAGCACTGTACTACTTCCTGAAAGATAACATATGTGAATCTTGATTAGGAGGGATGCTGTCTTAATGATTGGCTTTCCTTCGGCCTCCTCTGACTTTTCTTTCAGAGCCTCTGATTGTGTGGTTCCATCTTGCTTTCCTAGAGCACCTCTTCCTCCCATGCTTCCTGTGACTAAATAGATGCCCAAGAAGGGAAGCAAGTGCATCTCTGTGTGGGAGGAATAGCTGGTTCTTGGGAAAGACTCATGGTGTAGGGCCTGTGGGTGCTGACATCCTACCAAAGGTAGTCTTTTCAAACCAACCAACCAACCAACCAACCAACCAACCAACCAACCAACCAACCAACCGTCTGTGCTTTACCGAAACCTCACTCAGCTGGTTAGTTTCCTCATTTGGAAACAGTGCAGTATCTGTATAGATCCAGAAGGTCCTTAAGAGTCTTTCTCTATGTGATTGAGGACCAGTGGGCTACTTGAACAATACCTGCTCTTAAGCCAAGAAGGGCTGTGGGGTAATTTATTATGAATCCATAGTCACCATGAACGCACAGGTTTTTGTTGTTGTTTTCTTTAAATTCCTTTCAGGTGCTCTTATTTCTGGTCAGGAAAGTTTCTAAATATTGAATGCCTTTTTCTACAGAACGTTTTCTTCTGACCAGGCTACTTCCTTGAACAAAGTGCTTTTAATTCAACTCTATGCAAATAGGGGAGGTATGGATGAGCAAATCCAGGATTTGAAGAGTGGTGGGTGAGTGAATTTGTATTGTTAGAAAATAGACGTTGTGTATTTGGTTTCGTAAGGAACTTCTTCTAGAGGTATTCTCAGTTCCTAAAAGCTGCCCCAGGGCTAACTATGCATCCTGGGTATAAAACGGGCAAGAAGTCCAGGCTGCCTGAAGACAGGCTGCTGTCTGGCAGAGGTGGGCATAGCAGAGTGCACTGTGTTGTTCCTGGCACCAGGGGTGGGGATTTATGCGTGTTTTTTGGTGATGGTTGTCATTGAAACTCACATTTTCTTCATATACAGCTACTGTTGTGTCATGCATGGTATTAGAGGGAAGAGAGGGGCTTGTGTTTTTTTTTGAGAAGTGCACTCCTTGTATAAAATAGTCTTTTCTGCGGGCTTCATGGTTGAAAGCGTACTCTCCCAGTACTGGTAGAATGGACTCTAGAATTTGTGAGGTCTAGAGAGTAATACATATCTGTTAGAATTAGGATTTGGAAAAAATGTATGTTACTGATGATTGCTATATTTGTAAACTCGCTTATCATTCCAGTCTGTTACGTTAAGATAATATGTTTCTAAGAATGTCCCAGCTTTGAATGGCAAAACCTAAGCAGGTCACTTTATATTCTTGATTAAAGAGTGCCATGGACATTAAGAAATGCAATAAGAAGTACAATAAATATTTCAAATTGACATAAATTGGTGTGATTGTCCTTTTTCTCATTTGGGGATAGTGTGACTACACATGGGAACACTACAACAGAAATCGGTAGAATGGCCAACAATAAAAGTTAATGCACTTTTCTGCTTCTAATCTAGTTGTCAGTTTTCTTCAAAAAAAAAAAAAAGATGTTGTCCCTCACAAAAGAACAAATGAAATGTTTACCTAAATGAATTCTGCACTTTGCTTCATATCAGACCCAATCATTTGCCTATAAAATTGATTATCCGAAGGTTCATGTGTTAATAATACATGTTTTTTGCTTTTACCTATCATTTCTCTAGGATACACATACATCAGTTAGTTTCCCAGGAGTGTGTTGAATTTGCTTGCATTTTGCATGGGCTCTAGTGCTAGTCTGTCCGGCATCTGTGTTACCCCTCTGGTAAGAGGCTCTCCCCTTGGCCAAGGATTAGGTATGTGCCCAGGACATGCCATTTGGAGTAGCTCTCCTCCATGCACAGTGGTTATACCCAGGGGTATATGACCCAGGATGTACCAGTCATGCTGTTTCTCCCATGTTTAAAAACTGAAAATGAGAGCGAAGCCAATTCTCTTGTTCCTTTCTGGTCACTAAGCCATGAGAATGGGAATCTGATCAACATCCCTTCCCCCCCCCATCCCAACACATACTCTACGGGCTGAGCTCCAGCTGGAGAGAAAGAAGCTGAAACACAAAGACATTGAGCTGTAGGGAGGGAGCATCCTGGTGGTACTTGGGCTCCTGGTTCTGGATGTGCCTGAGACCAGCTTCCCTCCAGCTATACTTGTACATGAGCCCGCACATTTCCCTGATGTGCAACCAGAGCGTGAACTCAAACAACTCTTGTAATTCCCAAGTGCTAGGAAGGATCTGGTCCCTATAGAAGTCAGGCAGAAGATGAACGAAACTGCTTATACCTGGGCCCAGAGAACACATTTATAGGTGGGTAGGAAGGTTGCGGGCAGAGGTTTTCTTTCTCTTATAATTTCAGTGCTGTGAGCATGACTTTGAAAATTATTCCAATGGAAGTAGAAGCAGAGATGTATTCAGTGGATGGGTCCCTCTGCACCAACCTTCTCCCTTTCCTCACAGGTGTGGTCTTGAGTTTCCTAAGATTATTTTCAGGGTCTCTATCTTTAAAATGGGGAGAGTACAGTGTCTTCCACCATGATTCTCTAAGAGGTAATTAACACATCTGGTTGCAAAATACTGATAGATCTTTTAAAAATGCTGTATCATAATGTTACCTTGGGCCAGAATTGTCCATTTCTCCTCCTTTCATTTTTCAATGTCTGTACTGCCCACCTAAGACCTTAAGCATACGTATCGGTAAATGTGATATATTCTGAATGCACATCTGTGTGAATATACCTGACGGCTCCCGCTTCCGTAATGTTGTGTCTGAGTAAAATCATCTAAAGACACCACGCTTTGCGGACCACACAGCAAGTCCTACCTACACTNACTTGTGTCTGAGTAAAATCTAAAGACACCACGCTTTGCGGACCACACAGCAAGTCCTACCTACACTGATCCGGGTAAGTAATTGATAAGACAGTTCCTTTCCTCAGAGCCCCAAACAAAAGCTGCTTGGTTGTGGAGGTTAAGTATGTTTGCTTGTCATGGTCATTACTGCCTTTTATGGGTTCCACACTGTGCCATCTTTGTGTACGAGCACCTTTCTGAAATTTGCCTGTTCTCGCTTTTGTTGCCTGTAGTCTTGGCGTCACATCCAAGAAGTTATTGTCAAGACCAATGTTCAGAAGTTTTTCTCCTTGTTTTCTTCTAGGAGTTTTATAGATTCAGGTTGTATGTTTAAATCATAGATCTATTTTGAGTTATTTTTATGTGTGGTGTAAGGTAAGGGTCTAATTTCATTCTTTTGCACGCGGATATCCAGTTTTCCCAGCATCATTTGTTGAAGAGACTTTTCTTTCTATATTGTGTGTTCTTGGCAGCCTTGTTGAAGATCAGTTGACCATATATATGTGGGTTTATTTCTGAGCTCTCTGTTCTATTTCATTGGTCTATATGTCTAAAGACATCATCAATTTTATTTTATTTTTTAAAATTTTTTATTTTTGTTCAAAATACAGATGTCCCTTTTTCTCCCTATTGACCCATTCCACCCCTCCCCACCCCTGTCCCTAGTCCCTCACCACACCATTGTCTGTGTCCTTGGGTTGCGCATATGTGCATATAAATTCTTTGGTTAATCTCTCCCCCTCCACCCACCCGCCCCCCTCGATCCCTCTGAGATTCGTCAGTCTGATCCATGCTTCCATGTCATTGAATCATTTCTGTCCATCAGTTTATTAAGTTTTGTAGATTCCACATAAAAGTGAGATCATATGATGAAGACATCATCACTTTTAAAATGCACTATGATTTTATTCGCTTTTTTATCATATACAATTTATTGTATACATATTAAGACATTTCAGACTTTCCCTTGGTCTCAGACGAGTTTGGGTAGTATGCCCTTTTTGTATTTAAAACAAAAAGGGTCAATAATAGATGCTTTATTCAGCTGATAGACATCAAAAGCAGTTATGGCCTAAGGAAATCTACCTGTCTTAAAGTTGGTGCATTTACAATTCCCGGAAATCTCATTGACTAGAGGATTCAAGTTGTCCAAGGGAGAGGTTAGGGGTGGGAACCAGGTCAGGAGGGGGTTGGGAACCAGGTCAGGAGGTGGGTGAGAGGAAACAAAGGTGCGTGCTTCTCAGAGCAGTAGGGCTGCCAGAAGTAGAAGGAAGAAGCCAAGGCAATCATGTGAAATGTGCTTCAATTTCAGAGATGATTAAATGTGGGAAATCGTTCATCTTAGAATCAGTGAATTGGAGGAGGTCCTCTGAGGCCTTCCTGAATTAGCATAATGTCTGACTTAAGAATATTTTAAAGAAATATTGTTATAACTTTCAGAACAGAAATGATTGCATAGGAACAGACCCTTAGGAACCTGCTTTATGGATGGGGAAGAGCTGGTAAATATTAGTGTGTATGTAAATAGTGCTTCAAAACTTCTCTTCCAGGCAGGCCCAGTGCTTATTATGTAGTCTTCCATCATGGTTTGCCTTCCAGGTATGTCTCTCTGTCCTGTCTTCCCCTCTAATTCCCATCTTTTGCATATACACAATTTNCCCTAGTCCCTCACCACACCATTGTCTGTGTCCTTGGGTTGCGCATATGTGCATATAAATTCTTTGGTTAATCTCTCCCCCTCCACCCACCCGCCCCCCTCGATCCCTCTGAGATTCGTCAGTCTGATCCATGCTTCCATGTCATTGAATCATTTCTGTCCATCAGTTTATTAAGTTTTGTAGATTCCACATAAAAGTGAGATCATATGATGAAGACATCATCACTTTTAAAATGCACTATGATTTTATTCGCTTTTTTATCATATACAATTTATTGTATACATATTAAGACATTTCAGACTTTCCCTTGGTCTCAGACGAGTTTGGGTAGTATGCCCTTTTTGTATTTAAAACAAAAAGGGTCAATAATAGATGCTTTATTCAGCTGATAGACATCAAAAGCAGTTATGGCCTAAGGAAATCTACCTGTCTTAAAGTTGGTGCATTTACAATTCCCGGAAATCTCATTGACTAGAGGATTCAAGTTGTCCAAGGGAGAGGTTAGGGGTGGGAACCAGGTCAGGAGGGGGTTGGGAACCAGGTCAGGAGGTGGGTGAGAGGAAACAAAGGTGCGTGCTTCTCAGAGCAGTAGGGCTGCCAGAAGTAGAAGGAAGAAGCCAAGGCAATCATGTGAAATGTGCTTCAATTTCAGAGATGATTAAATGTGGGAAATCGTTCATCTTAGAATCAGTGAATTGGAGGAGGTCCTCTGAGGCCTTCCTGAATTAGCATAATGTCTGACTTAAGAATATTTTAAAGAAATATTGTTATAACTTTCAGAACAGAAATGATTGCATAGGAACAGACCCTTAGGAACCTGCTTTATGGATGGGGAAGAGCTGGTAAATATTAGTGTGTATGTAAATAGTGCTTCAAAACTTCTCTTCCAGGCAGGCCCAGTGCTTATTATGTAGTCTTCCATCATGGTTTGCCTTCCAGGTATGTCTCTCTGTCCTGTCTTCCCCTCTAATTCCCATCTTTTGCATATACACAATTTGTATCTTTGGTATACACAAGTTTACTTTAAAGGTGAAAATTTACATAAAATTTTAGAAGATCAAAGCATTTGAGAAGGCATTTCCATTATGTTAGTAGCATCAAACTCAATATGAGATTGTCAAAGAGAGAACAGTACAATAAGATGAATGCTGCTGTGGAATAAACGTTTGTGCCCCCCACCATTTGTTTAAACCCTAATCCCTGTTGTGATGGAATTTAGGGGTGGGGCTTTGGGGAGGTAATTAGGTTTAGATGAGGTCATGAGGGTGAAGCCTCCATGGTGAGATTACTACCTATATAAGAAGGGGAAGAGACCGGGCCCCCTCTCTCTCTGCCATGTGAGGATATAGCAAGAAGGCAGCCATCTACAAACCAAGGAAAGGGCCCTCACCAGACACCTAATCTGCCTGCACCTTGATCTTGGACTTCCCAGCCTCCAGAACTGTGAGAGAAAAATGTTTCATGTTTAAGCTACCCAATCTATGGTGTTTATTACAGAAGCTTGAACTAAGGTAAATGTGACCAACTCAGAGAAAGCTCAAGAAGACCAAACAAATAAAAATAAAACTATGGGGAAGGAATAAAATACATGGCATATTTTACTTGCAGGAGAGATACTAAAGGAGTGATTTAATAAGAACTTAAAGAACTTTATCTAATGAAGAGTGCCCTAGGTCTAAAAGCAAAGAAGAAAAGGAGGGTGAGGAATTATAATTCAGACAGCGTTTACCAACAATGAGCTTTTAAAGAACAGGAATTGACCTCATTCATTCATACATTCGTTCATTCAGACACTGGTAGGAGTTGAGGGAAGGAGAGGGACAGAAGCATTGTATAGTTGATTTAAAGGCAG